CCTTCCATCCCTTCCCCTCCCCTTCCCTGCCCTCTCTTCTTCCTTCCTTTCTTCCTTTTTCTGTTTCTTTTCTTTCTTTCTTCCTATCTTTCTTTTCTTTCTCTTTCTTTTCTTTCTTTCTTTCTCTTCTTTTTTTCTTTTCTTTCTCTTTCTCTCCTTCCTTCCTTCCTCCCTCCCTCCCTCCTTCTCTTTTTCTCTTTCCCTCCCTCCCTCTTTTCTCTCTCTCCCTTAGAGACAGAGTGTCACTATGTTGCCTAGGCTGGTCTCAAACTCCTGGGCTCAAATGATCCTCCTGCCTTGGCCTCCCAAAGTGCTTAAGCCACTGCGTCCGGCCGTGTTTGCTACAGTGGGGTACAGTGACAGAACATTTTTCTACTAAACTCCTCTCTCAGTGAAGGGAGCCCTTGTTGTCCTTCTCAGGAGAAGGAACTGAAATCGACAACAATGTAAATGATTGTGACCTTGTCCTTAGGAAAAGCAATTCAAGCTAAAACTCTGACTCGGACTTAAGTTACTAGATGAAACCAACCAGTAAAACAATCAAGAACTATCCTTGATTGCTTACTATGCACCAGACACTGCACAAGACATTTTTTCCCCATTGTGTCATTTGACCGTCACAGCGATCTTACCAAGCCAGCTCTATCTTAGCTGCATGAGGAAGCTGAAGCCCAGAGTGGCCTGTTGACTTGGCCTAGTACGCACAGCACATGTGGGGCCAGATGTCATTCCCAGATGTGGCCGAGCGGGGGCTGGACGTGCCAGTGTTGTACCACACTGCCTCCTGGTCTCTGCCTGGGTGAGGCTGGGGTGGTGCTGGCTGTTTGGCTCTTAGGAAGCAGAGAGGTCTCCCAGAGGCTGCAGGGAGCACGCCCCTTGAATCACCCCTGTTCCGGATTCTACCTGCAGAGGGCAGTATTGAGCACACACTGATGCTTCCCTACCAAGCCTCAGTTCCTCCAAGCCCTGGGAGGTAGGACTTGGGGTCAGGGAAACATTTGGCCTCAAAACCAACTGGGTCCACGGAGGGCGTGCCTTAGCCCTGACACCGCACGGGCCGGTGCAGACATCATGGGGGTACCACGAGGCAGTGTGCGGCAGCTCTATCCTTCCGCCCAGACCCAGCAGCTCACTCATAGGGTCGCATGTTTTTGTTTGTTTGTTTGCTTTGGGAGACGGAGTCTCGCTCTGTCACCCAGACTGGAGTGCAGTGGCACAATCATAGCTCATTGCAGTCTCCAACTCCTGGGCTCAAGCAATCCTCCTGCCTCAGCCTCCTGAGTAGCTGGGACTACAGGTGCGCACCACCACGCCCAGCTAATTGTTTTGTATTTTAAGTAGAGATGGAGTTTCGCTATGTTGGCCAGGCTGGTCGCGAACTCCTGACCTCAGGTGCTCCACCTGCCTCGGCCTCCCAAACTGTGGGATTACAGGCGTGAGCCACTGTGACCGGCCAAGGCTGTATGTCTTTAATCCCCTGACTTTATCCCACTGTAACATAAGGCCAACAGTACCCACCTTGCAGGCTTAGCGCAAGGCTTAGAGAACTAAAATGCCACAAACCCAGCACCTAGGAGATGCTTGACAAGCAGGGGCCAATCACAGGGGCAGTTATCTACCATGGGGGCCACACCGTGGTCCAATGAGAAGCTGCAGGAGGAGGGAAGTGGAGTCTCACAGAGGAAAACTGACTTGCTCAAGGTCACACAGGTGATTAGACAAAGAGGCAGAGGCCAGGCGCGGTGGCTTACACCTGTAATCCCAGCACTTTGGGAGGCCGAGGTGGGCGGATCACAAGGTCAGGAGTTTGAGACCAGCCTGACCAACATGGTGAAACCCCATCTCTACTAAAGATTTTTAAAAAAATTAACCAGGCGTGGTGGTGCACGCCTGTGATCCCAGCTACTTGGGAGGCTGAGGCAGGACAATCGTTTGAAACCGTGAGGTGGAGGTTGCAGTGAGCCGAGATCGCGCCATTGCACTCCAGCTTGGGCGACAGGGTGAGGCTCCATCTCAGAAAAAAAAAAAAAAAAAAGGAAAAGAGAAAGAGGCAGGGTGGGAGACGACCCGGGTCTCAGGTCAGGGGGCCACGAAGGAGGGTGCCTTGAGATGTCCCATGTCTCCTTACAACAGGAGGGCGGTGTGGGATGGAGAGAGCATCGGTGACCTCACTCCCAACCCTGACACTGCCCAACACCGTCCTTGGGCATGAGGGCCCCTCTGTGCCCTGCCTTGTGCTGGGCACTGCAGATGTGGCCTGCCTGGGAGGAGCTCTCAGTCTGATGGGCGTGTGGGTTTCCCAGAGGAGACCTGGTCAGCCAAAGTTAACCCTCACCAAATTCCTGGTGTGTGTCCAGGAGGGACCCCAGTGTAATTGTCTGACAGGCTGTTCCTGCCACTGCACAAGAAGAATTCACTGAGACCATGGTATTGCAGCAGAGAAATAGTTTTATGTTTTTTAATTTTTTTTAATTTTTGAGACAGAGTCTTACTCTGTCGTCCAGGCTGGAGTACAGTGGTGTGATCTTGGCTCACTGCAACCTCTGCCTCCTGGGTTCAAGTGATTCTTATGCCTCAGCCTCCTAAGTAGCTGGGATTACAGGTGCCTGCCACCACCCCCGGCTGATTTTTGTGTTCTTAGTAGAGACAGGGTTTCACCATGTTGGCCAGGCTGGTCTTGAATGCCTGACCTCAAGTGATCCACCCACCTCAGCCTCCCAAAGTGTTGGGATTAGAGGCGTGAGCCACTGCGTCTGGCCTAATTTTTGAAACAGAGTCTCACTCTGTCACCCAGGCTGGAGTGCAATGGCTCAATCTCGGCTCACTGCAACCTTCACCTCCTGGGTTCCAGTGATTCTCATGCATCAGCCTTCTGAGTAGCTGGGATTACAGGCATGCGCCACCACACCTGGCTAATTTTTGTATTTTTAGTGACTGGATTTTGCTGTGTTGGCCACGCTGGCCTTGAACTCCTGACCTCAAGCGATCCACCCACCCTGGCTTCCCAAAGTGCTGGGATTACAGGCATGAGCCATTGAGCCCAGCCAAGAACATCTTATTAATGCAGAGCTAGCCAAGCAGTAGGACTGGAGTTATTAATCAAATTAATCTCCACAAGAACTCAGAGGCTAGGGTTTTTATGGATAATTTGGTGGGCAAGGGCTCAGAGAATGGGTACTGCTGATTGGTTGGGGATGAAATCACAGGGGTGCGGCAAACGGTCCTTATGCACTGAGTCGGTCTCTGAGTGGGGGCCACAGGATGGGCTGAGTCATGAGTCACACAGGTCCAGGTGAGTCAGTCGGTTGCCAGAATGCGAAAGTCTGAAAAACTCCAAAGACCAATCTCAGTTTCCACAATAGAGATGCTATCTATAGGAGGAAGTGGGGAACTCAGAAATCTTGTGATCTCTGGCCACATGACTCCTGAGCCCTCAGATTATAAAAACGATGCGTAGGTTTTAGCAGCATGCAGGCCCCTTCCATAATCCTAATCTCATGGCCTTTAGTTAGTTTTACAAAGGGGGCTTTGGTCTCGAGTAAAGAGCAGGTTAGGTTTAAGGAGTAACTATTATCATCTTTGCTTCAAAGTTGAACTATAAACTAAATGCCTCCCCTGGTTAGCTTGGCCTATGCTCCGGAATGAGTGAGGACAGCCAGCCCGTGAGGCTGGAAGCAAGATGGAGTCAGCCACGCTAAACTTCTTTCACTGTCATAATCTTTGCAAAGGCAGTTTGGCCAGGAGGCTGTGGGGAGACCTTGTGGGTTTTGCCAGGACCTGGGAGATTCTCGATCTATGTTTGGCTGTCCTTCTAAGCCAGAGGCTCCCTGGGGTTGGGGCCTGCCTGGGGTGAGTCCCTCCCTCCCTGCCATGCCCAGCCTAGCCAAGGCCTAGTTCAGGGCTCAGGGCACCACGTGGGGGAAGGACTGTGTTCCTTGTGCTGAATTAGGATTTATGGCTTTGGGGCCGGATGGGAGGTGTGCGCTCTGATTCAGTAGCAGCGCTGCTGTGGTGTGTGTGTCGTTGGTGAGAGCGGGGCGGGCGGGGGACGGGGCGGGGGGGGCGGTGGACAGGGGTAAGAGCCTCTCAGAGGAAGGTCCCATCAGACAAGATGGGACCAAGAGTCCAGTTGGCTCTGCTGCGACTTTCGGCATGTCACTGCCTTCCTGCACATCTCAGGGGCGGGAGGGGGACAAAGGCTGTAAGAGGTACCTGGCCCAAGCCTTAGGACTAGAACCCGGGCCAGGCGGGAGTGACCGGCCAGGACACTCAGGGCCTCCGCACGTTCCAGCTGGGTGACCTTGACTCTCCAGCCCCAGCCCCCTGCGCCCCGCTGCTCTCCCAGTGGTGGTGGGGGACGGTGAGGGTAGGCGGGGGCGCGCCCAGGCTTTTCTAATCCGGGGCTGGGGGGGGACCGAGGGCGCCACCGCCCCTCCCCGCAGGTCCGGGGCCGAGGGGTGCGGCGCACTCTTCCCACCGCGGTGCCCAGATCCCCGGGACGCAGGGGCGCGGGGTAGCAAGGGGGGGACGCAGGGGCGCGGGGCGCGGGGCGGGCTAATCCCGTATGTAAATGGCAGCCAATGGAGGGTGGTGTTGCGCGGGGCTGGGATTAGGGCCGGGGCGAATGGCTGGCAATCTTACTGGGATTACAGAACAAAGAGCCTCCCCGCGCTCCCGCTCTCCGCTCCGCTCCCCGCGCCGCCCCGCCCTCCGCCGCAGCCCGCGCCGGGGGTGGGGGCCGCCGAGCGCCAGCCCCCCGGCCGGCCGATCCCCCCCGCGCCCCCTCCCCGCGCCTCCCTCCCCGCCCTCGCCGCGCCGCCGTCCTCGCCTCCCTCTGCCTCTCCTTCCCCCATTCTCCCGGATTAATTAAGGAGGCAGCGGCAGGAGGCTGAGTCCTGGCCGCGGGCCGGGGCTGGGGCGCCGCTGGCAGGAGCGCTTGGGGATCCTCCAAGGTAGGAGAAACTTTTGCGGGGGGCGGGCGCCGAGGCCCTTCTCCCCTTCCCCCTCACCCCCGCCCCCGATCCCCTCCGCCTCCTCCGGGGGGGGGCCCCGCCCCTCCCCCTCTCAAGGTGTTACAGGAGCTGGGGCCGGCTTTTGGGTGCCCGGGGAGGCACGTGACTGGGATTATAATTCGGGCCCGGGGGAGGGGAGGGACGGCCGCCCCCCACCTGCCCGGGAGGGGCCAGGAGCTGGGAGCTGTCACCCCCTCCCTCCTTGCCACCGGCCCTTCTGGAGGTGGGGGGCGTCCCGGGCCGGCGCCCGCAGGCTGCTGCAGTTGGCGAATGAGGTCAGTCGCGCTGCCCGCGGTGGCGGGCGCCGGGGTGGGAGCAGAGGGGGCTGGGAAGGCCGCGGTCCCCGCCTTTCACCCCCCTCCACCTTTTCCCGGGCTGGGCCAGCCCCTGGCCCGCGCCCCCAACTCCCAGGCGGAGTCCAGCCCAGCCAGGATTGCCCCAGCAGGGTGGTTCCTGTTGTGGACCCCCCCTCGCCGCCCCGGGGAGGGAGCTGGCCTGTGTGGTGGTGGCCGCTGAACCCCGGGTGGAGGGGACTCAGAAGGTGGCAGTGGGAGGGAGCACAAAGGGTTCAGAGGAGTAAGTTGGGGGTACTCGGTCTGTGGGTGGTCTCTGAGTTCCTGCAGATGGGTGGAGAGGACAGAGGAGGGGCCACAGGGTGCTGAACACCCACCCGCCCTGGGCTAAGTACCCTGGGCATGATGGGCTTGACACCTCTCCTGGGCTCTGCACCCCTGGCCAGCAGCCAGAGAGTGAGACCCTGCCCCGCCTGGCGTGGGCCCAGGGAAGGGGGATGCTGTGCCGCTGAGAGAGTTCCACCCTCCTGGCAGTGCTGGAGGGGGATGGAGCTCTGGCGTCTGGCCTAGTGACCCTGCCTCCCAGGACCAAGGTCCTGCGGTGGGAGTCTCCTGTGTCCCCATCCCAGCTGAAGCGAGGGTGCTGGGACATAGGGGTCTCGCTGCAGGGCCCGTGGGGGAGTACTGGCTCTTGGATGGGGAATGTGCCAAGGGGTACCCCGGGGATGGCCCTGGGCCTGGCGGGTGGGAGTGGAGGGCAGGCCCCCACAGTTTTTGGAGGAGTGGGCATTTGCAAGGGTTTCTCTTAGAAGAGGAGAGGGGTGTCTAGAAGCTACCCTGGCCTGCCGCTGCTATGGTCGGCCTCTGTGTGTCTGGCTGCCCCGTGGCCAGGACTGTTGACTCCTTGGCACTGGCCTGGGGCCTTGGGGCTTGGAAGGTGCCCCAAGCAGCTCATTTATTTCAGCAGTGTCATTCCAGAGGGGAAAGGCACCAGCATCGATTATTTATTCTAAGCAGGAGGAGGTGGCTGGAGGCTGGTGGCTGCTGGCAGGGAGGGGTTAGGTATAAGGTAGTTAGGTGGCCATCATGAACCGCCCTATTTGGGGCCCAGGAGGGTGTGAGATAGACTCTGACCTCTTCTGAGCAGGCACCTGCGGACCAAGGGACAGGCTTGGCCCCAAGGTGACAGGGTATCGGAACCCCCATCCTGCCTCTGGGGTGTGGGAGGCTCAAGTCCACACCTCATTCTTCCACAGCCTGCTCTGAGGGTGACCTAGAAATCAGCAGTTCTGACTCAGAGGGTCCCACAGGACCCCACAGAGGAAACTAGGAAGGAAGGGTTGAAACTCCGCAGCCACTCAGAGCCTGCACTCTTAAAATGTTCGAGAACTTAGGGCCGATGGTTGTAAAACTGGGTCTTGAAGACAGCTTTGTAGGGGACACGCTAAACCTACTTAAAAGGACTGTTCTCTCGATGCTGAGAGAAGGGTCATTTATTTGCAATATGCTAATCACAAATAATTTTTATCTGTTCGTTGAAGGCAGCCTCCCGGGAGCTCGGCTAGCCTTCTGATGAGGTGGTAGTCGTCAGCGCTCGGTGTTTGGCAATAGTCTGAGTGGCAGCTGTAATCTAGGGGTCTTGGAGGTAGCTGTTTCTGCAGCCTGCTTGACTCCAGAGGCCAGGCCATCCACAGTTTGGTGACAGCTTGCTTGTTGGACCTGGGGTCTTGTGGATGGTGGGTGATGGCTTGGGACTTGCACGTCCTAAGCATGACCTTGGAACCACAGACCGCAGCTCTCAGATGATTCTCATTCGGGGTCCAGTCTCTCTTTGACCACTCACTGCTTCCTCAGCCCATTCATGAATTCTGTAGTCTGGCCGGACACAGTGGCTCACGCCTGTAATCCCAGCACTTTGGGAGGCTGAGGTGGGTGGATCACGAAGTCAGGAGTTTGAGACCAGCCTGGCCAACATGGTGAAAACCCATCTCTACTAAAAATACAAAAAATTAGCTGGGCATGGTGGCAGGCACCTGTAATCCCAGCTGCTCGGGACCCCAAGACCACGCAACCGCACTCCAGCCTGGGCAACAGAGCAAGACTCCATCTCAAAAAAAAAAAAAAAAGAAAGAAAGAAAGAAAGAAAAAATCCTGTAGTCTTGCCGTTTTCCTGAATAACCTGGCTTCCTCCTACCCCTGGCCTCTGCACACACACTGTTCCTCTTCTCTAGAAGGTTCTTCTTGCCCTTTCCCCTGAGGAGGCTGGGGGGCTTCCTTTAATGGCCCTGCCTGGCTAGGGTAGGGGATCAGGATTGTCGAATTTGCCTCTTTTCCTCTCCTCCTTCAGGACTTGGCTTGGCTGTGGTGTCTTTGGGCTGAAGACTTCCTCATCCTCAGGGCTGGCCATGGTACCACCTGTGTATCCCCATGACATCCTTTCTTTTTTTTTTTTTTTTTGAGAGAGTCTTGCTCTTTTTTTTTTTTTTTTTTTTTTCTGTTTGAACTTAGAAAAATATATAGATGTTAATTTTTCCTTTCTTTCTTTCTTTTCTTTTCTTTTTTTTTTTTTTTTGAGAGAGTCTTGCTCTGTGCCCAGGCTGGGGTGCAGTAGTGTGATCACAGCTCACTACAGCCTTGAACTCCTGGATTCAAGCCACCCTCCTGCCCCAGCCTCCCAAATAGCTGGGATCACAGACAAGCGCCACCACACCTGGCTAATTTTTTATTGTTTATAGAGGTGGGATCTTGCTATGTTGCCCAGGCTGGTTTCGAACTCCTGGGCATGAGCAGCCCTCCCACCTCGGCCTCTCAAAGTGCTGGAATGACAGGAGTGAACCACCACACCCAGCCAACATCCTTTCCTTCCTTTGTCCCAACATTGATCTTACTCAGATGTTTACATTTCTCTCCCCAGTTGCACTAGGGACAGGTAGGGATGGAGGCTTCTTCTTAAATACTTGTTAAATGGCTACGTGTTTGAATGAATGAATGAAATCCTGCTCTTGAGCCTTGACCTAAATGGCTGAGCAGACTCTCTCCTATTTTTCTTAAATGCTCATGTCTGGGGCAAGTTCCCCACTCGGGTAGGAGTCCCAGGGTCTCTCCCTGAACTTCCTGGGGCCCCCTCTCTCCCCACAACCCCAGCCTGTGTCTTCTCTCACGGGCTTTGCTCCCCAGTGTCATCCTCTCTGTATCTCTCAGTTCTCTGACTCTCGCTGTTTGTAAGTATCTCTCTCTCAGATGCGTGGCAGCCAGGGTTCTTTGGGACAAGCCAGGGGTGTACGCCCAGCTCCATGGGGCCTGCAGAGGCTTCAGGAGACACCTGTGGAACAAGACCGGCAGGACCAATTTACAAACAGAGGAGCAGAGCAGGACCCAGGGCTTGGGATCCATGCTGAATTAATTTTTTTTTTTTTTTTTTTGAGAGGGAGTCTCGCTCTGTCGCCCAGGCTGGTGTGCAGTGGCGCCATCTCGGCTCACTGCAACCTCTGCCTCCCGGGTTCAAGCGATTCTCCTGCCTCAAGTAGCTGGGATTACAGGCATGCTCCACCACACCCGGCTAATTTTTGTAGTTTTAGTAGAGATGGGGTTTCATCATGTTGGCCAGGCTGGTCTAGAACTCTTGACCTCAAGTGATCTGCCTGCCTCTGCCCCGCAAAGTACTGGAATTGCAGGCATGAGCCACCGCGCCCGGCCCTGAGTTCAGTTTTGATTGAGGGGCTTCCAGGAGAATGTGGGGCCGCTAGGACAGGGACGCTTAGTGCGACTGGAAGGGAATTCCCCGAAGGGACTCATAGCAGAGGTGGAGTGGTGGGAAGGATGGTTTTCTGGGGGAGAAGGGGACGCATGAACCTGGCCAGAAGACAGTGTGTTGTGACAGGTGATTGCTCGGAGGGGGGTAACAGTCTCCAAGGTGTAGGTGTTAGGAGCTCCAGCTAGGGCAGGAGGGGCCTGGCCTCTCGGAATCCCCTCAGCCTCATCTCTTAGAAACGTGCTTTCTGCCCAGGCTCCATACTCCGGAAGGGAGGCGGGACCCTGTCACTTTCTTGGCCTACTTTGGAAGTTTTCAGCCAGGTATGTCCAGGTGTGGCAAACGGGCTTTGGCCTGTAGGGCGTCTTGTAATGTGGGTGTTGGAGGCAGAAAGCTTTTCAGGAGAGCCCCCTGGTCCATCACCACCTTTTTTTTGTTTTGTTTTGTTTTGAGATGGAGTCTTGCTGTGTTGCCCAGGCTGGAGTGCAGTGGCACGATCCCGGCTCACTGCAACTTCCATCTCCCGGGTTCAAGTGATTCTCGTGCCTCAGCCTCCCGAGTAGCTGGAATTACAAATATGCACCACCACACCCGGCTAATTTTTGTGTTTTTAGTAGAGATAGGGTTTCACCATGTTGGCCAGGCTGGTCTTGAACTCCTTACCTCAAGTGATTGGCCCTCCTTGGCCTCCCAAAGTGCTGGGATTACAGGCATGAGCCCCCAGGCCCGGCCTCATTCATTACTTCTTCACCCACCCTATTTTGGTAGCTCTCTCTCCCTTCATCCTGCAGAACTGATCCATTCTCGGTCCCATTGCCTTCTCTCTGGGCCAATCTGTACCTGGGCTTGTGGCTTCATGAGTATGGAGAGTTGTGCAGAATGGGGCCAGGGCTGTA